TCAAAGGGTCAAAGCTGAGTGAGCCCCCCGTTCGCACAGCAGGCCATGTGATAAGAAGTTCTCACATCCAAAGTTCCCATATTGAGCAGGCCCTGAGCAGGCCACATGACAAAGGATCCTTGCCGTGCCTGCCACGGAAAGCTATGAAAAACCCTGCCGAGCAGCATCTTTGATACACTTGGCCTTGGGACGAGGCAGGCAAAGAAGGGAACCCTCACAGTTTGGACGAAAGGGCTTAAGAATTCATTGCTGGGTTGTGATTGCCGTCTTCCTGAGCCCGCTTTGGGGATGTGCCAGAAACCGGTGATTGCCGTCTGTCTGTGGCTAAAACAGGGCAAAATGCATATGATTACGTCGGCAGCTGTTAAGCTTACATAAATTAAACACCTTCCGCCACCTACTCACGTCGGCTTTCCGAACAAACCAAACCATTGAGTTGGCGACCAAACCGCATTGAATCATATGAAATCTGCAAATCTTCTGCAAATCTTCTTGGTTGATCGATCTGAAGGCCTCTTAATTGAGCCGTGTGATTTCAGTCTGCACGGCCTCCATGTATCACTTTACGTATAGAAGGCATTCTGCTTGAGGGGGATTGTATCACCCTTCAACCACCCACAGGCCCTCAGGCCATCAGCTGGGGCCCTCCCTATGCTGGGGATCCTTCATTCCAAACATCAGCTGTCTCGCTTGTTTCGCTGTCAAGCTTCCACGAAGCTCACATTTTGGTATTTCCCACGGATCTGCCGCACCAGGGTCACGCACACCTGAGCGAAAGCCAAGCTTTCTGGCGAAACTTGGTGCGCAGGGTCTGATGTGTTTGGGGTGTGTCGTGTAGTCCTCACAGCCATTGTCTTCTTCAAAGCGTGCCAGCGGTTTCTCTTCGCCTGATGTGTCGTTGGGCAAAACTCCGTCCTTTCGGTCCATTCGGCCTGGGCCGGCTTCAAGACTTCAGTGAAAGCCTCTTGGTAACTCTCGGGGTCCTGGGTTCGGTGGCGCTGGGATGGTAAAAGCGGAGGTGGAAGAAGTGGTTAAGTCAAAAACCTCATCTCAGGTGACCATGAGTTCTTTTTGCATCTGTATGTCATATGATGAGTGACTGGGGGGCGCTCCACGATGTTTGCTCACCAGTGTTTCTTTCCAAAGAGGGGTGTGTATGGGGGGGGGTCAGGCATGGTCAGGCTGTGGCTGTTGAAGGAGAACATCTAGCTGCTGGATCAAGGACTAAAGAAGGTGATCATGATAGTGCATGCCCAACTTGAGCAGGATATGAACGCCCCTCCACCGCCAGCAAATATTTAGTCTGAGGATCTGCATGAAGCGACCCTCACCCGCTGGGGGTGAGGCCGGCTGGGGGAGGCACATAATCCATCTCCATGTTCTGTTTTCTCAGAACGTTGAGCAAAGCAGAAGGTACTATTCTATACAATGACAACGCAACCAAAACTGGTCTTGTGCAAAAATACATTCTCCAAACAGCCATGTCAAGTACCATCTCTTTCTTTGCGGGATACCCTTTTTGGTGCCATAATATCTTGCGCAGCTGTGGCCTGGATACAACGATGAAAGCTCATGGATCTTCTGAAGGGTTTGTTTCTGGCCAAGCCCACGTCATGCGAGTCAGGTCATTCAGGGCCTTCACAACAACTCATCAACCATGGTTGCGCACGGCTACAGGATGAGGGCAGCCACCACATATCATATATGTATATATACCGTATACCGTATACCCAAATCATCACGTTTCATGGCGATGATGACTGACAAGAGCTCAAGATCCACTGGGGGGGGACGAGATAAATGTGGATAAACCCACTGGGCACAGAATCTGTCCTCTGCGCTCTTGTCGTGGTTGTACTTCACGATCTTCTGAGCATAGCCCTCCACGTCAGGAAGGATCAGTGAGTCCTGTGGGCGCGCCTTGACTTCCACTCACACAACACTACATTGTCCGACATTATTGACACGTCTTTTAAATACTTTTAAAGTCTTTTTGTGCAAAATACCTATATTGGACTCATTCTGCAAACAAACCTGTGTCACCCCAACAACAAATTTTGAAAGGCCCCCTTCTTCTCTCTCACCGCCTGCTGCAACGGACGCGTCTCACAAAAAAAGGAGCAGGGCACCATAGGGCACCAAACACCTTGTTGAACCCTGACCCCTCGGTTTCCCTGGATCCTAGTAGCGTCCTTGCTCCTAGTAGCGATGCCAGGAGCCCCTAGTAGCATCTTGTTTTACTAGCAGTAAGGCCAGGAGCCCCTAGTAGCGTCCTTGCTCCTAGGTTATAGAAATTGATAGGAATTGAACGTGTTTCCACCTGTTCGCATCTGGCATAGAACAGAACGAAGGTCTTGGTGTTGTCCACCGCATCTGACACTCCACAAAACGAACAACATAAAAGCGAATTGATACACCGTCAGGGGAAACCAGTAGGGCTGTGAATCGCTTTGGTAAACCAGTCGGGTGATAAACATTGATAAACCATGCAGTCAGTACTGTGGGGTTTCCCCAGTGATGCCCATAAAGGGGTAAAAGATGGAGTCCACTGACCGGGTTGGGAATCAGGTGGGCTGCGGCAATCAACAGTGAATTCATCAGATTTCATCAGATGCTGCGAATGAACATGAGATTGCCATCTAACCAGTGAGTAATTGTATACCAGAATTGGATGAACTCACATGAACTTTAGAACTTAGTCAGTTAGTCAGTCTATTTTGTAGTCAAAAGCCAAAAGAGTTCCTTCATGTCCCTTCCGCTCATCAGTTCCGACATACGGCTGGACCTCGGGTAGAATGAAGGTGATGTGGTGCCCGACGTCCGAGAGCCGCTTCCCACAATCGGCCAACCAGATCTGCGCGCCGCCGCGCATGGTAAGGTCCTCCCGGTTTCGGGCGCCGGTGGGCACCGACGGTAGCACTAGAACCGGTCCCCGCGTTGAATACCCTTGGTTCAAGAAACATGGATGGGCTCAGGGATGGTTTTTCAAATAAACTAAACCGAGTGACTGAGTGTTTGGAAGCTTTCCATGGGTCGATCGATGCGTGCTATTGGAGATTCATGGATTCATGAAGCTCACTTACGCCTGAAGTCCAGAAATGGGGGAAGGCTGCAAACTTGGCAGCACCGCCCAAACAAGAGGAGGAGCAAACAAACGCATGCAAGCGTGCTGCCAGGTGTTCAACATCAGTGTTCAGTTAGGAGGTGGTGAAGGGGCCTTGAACTTACCCTTCGCTCTTGCAAGTTTATTTAAATATATACAGTAAGATTATCAAATTATCAGTTGAAATCTGTGGCAATGATGGATCAAAAAAAACAAAGAATCACAAGGCCAAACTCTGCCAAGAGCCCCGCCTCATGTAGAACGATGTTCAAGGTCATGCCAAACGTGTCCGAGAAGCGATACTCGCTGAGAGAGGCCCGGCCGACCGAGAATGGTTGGGTGTTGGAGCTGGCAAACGCTGCGGGAGTCAAGGATAAAGGCCAACGAACTCTATCGCCACAACGTCATGCACTTTAGACCTCTGTTAGTCTGTTAGTTGCCACTTGAGTCATCCCCCACAAACCACAACAATGGAACAACTCTTGAGGAGGGTGTATTGTTTCTTCGACAAAGTTGTTTTATTCAACCGGACCATGCTAGCCATTTTAGTTTGTTTCAATTTCTGTGAGGTTTGGAACCTTGAAGGATCAGTTGTGGTGCACGCTTCTCGACGAATCAGGCACCCTGATAGGCACCAAAACGGTGCAAGTCAGGGTGAAGTGCAGCATCTGTTTGGCACTGACAATGCTCAGGGACAGGCTAGGTGACCAACTGCTTCATACACCCGGTCAAAGCCTTTTGGACGTACTAAGTCAGCCCAGCATACACCAACAGGTTTGACAAACATCACTTCGAGCAACCCCCACCCGCCCAAATACACTATAGTAGGACAACTGGGTTGGGGTGACTGGCGAGACATCCATGGGCCATGGTGTGTTGGCTACGTTTGTTATCATGATGTCCGGCTGGCGGACATGGGCGGACACTCGTGGGGACTGGCGGGATGTGCTATGGTTGTGTTTGGCATTGTCATTGTGAGTTATTGGATGATTGCTTCTTGTCTGTTGTTGTGTTGTCTATCAGTGCTTGCGTTTGGTGTTGCAAGCGTCATGGTTTGTTGTCTGTTGCCGTTGGCATTGTAGTGTGAGCAAAGGTCACGAGTGGATGGGTTGTCCAGTCAAAATCCATCTACCCCAATCCTGCCGCCCAGGCAAAACAATCGCCCGTAAGACACCAGAAATCACCTAGATTCGGCAGTGGTTCTGGTCTTGGTCAATTATAACATGACCAGTGCAACAGTACGACCTGGCCCTTGGTCTCATTAAGTACTACTGTCGAATGACAGGTCCTTGACGAAAGAAGGTCCATCGATCGCTGCTCGTGATCCCAGGTTGTTTCTGAAAGGTCCACAGCACCGTCTCTGTGAACCAACTGCTTGGTGAACTCAAAATATACAGTAAATCCAATTTCAAGGCATCCATCTAGTTTTGCTCATCTTAAATCGGATCTTCTAGTTCACAAGAGTTCCTGTTAGTTAGTGATACACCTCCTCCCTTGGAGCATCCCATGCACAAAAAGGAGACCACAAAGGATTGAACAAATACGGTTTGATTTGTTTTCGGACTGTCAGTGCACAAACGATCACAACCAAGCTGATGCTTGTAAAGCCTCGCCCCTCAAAAAGGGCAACCTGTGATCACAGGCATCTTTACCCGCTGGAATTCCATTGGCACTCCGTCTACGATTGCCTGCGGCGACGCGGCGGCACCAACAGCGCAAAGGGATCCCTATGGCAAAGGAATTTGGCAGATATCTAAAATCTTACAACATCAACATCTTACCCTGCTTTCCTTCATCATCTCGGCATGGAGGTTTCCTTCATACAACATTCTTGAAACACATCCAGTTGTATCCATCACCCGCGGCGGAAGGCACCGCTCCCCGCGGCCCACCGTGCCTCTTGCTCCGGCGTGAGATGCACCTCCCGAGTGGCGTCTTGCCTCGGTCGCGGCGAGGATGCACCAAACGCAACCTGTGATGAGACAACCAAGGAGAAAAACAACAAAATCAGAATGACAACAATTGACAACGACGAACAAACTTGATGCGGTCGATATGTGTTGTGTCACAGATCGTGCAAAAAGATTGGACTGGCCCTGGGATTTCCACTGGTGGCCATGGTCGCAAGTTGAAGGATCTCACGGCGACCTTACTCACTAGTCATTTCTGTGGGGTGCAATGTGCTTTTCTCCGTCACACAAGCGACCGTGCTCCCTTCGCAGGCGACCGCTTCGGAGATGACTCGACCCCCGAAAAAGCGAAGTCGGACAAGAAGAGCGGTTGGGATGTCAGGTTTTCTGGCTGAGGTGATGTCAGGTGTTTTGAAGGTAATGCTATTCCTCGACCCGAAGCTTTGGGAACTGCAACACTTGGAGAGGTGGACTGGAGGGGAGATCGTTGACCCCCAACTGGGTTAAGGCGCAACCCAAAGCACAAAGTGACTGCGGTGTAGGTTCCAGGGGGATGGCACAAATCCGCAATTTGAATATGTTGGTCAATGGGTCTGCACCATCTACTCTTGCTCGTTCGTGGCATCCGGCATCCCCTGAGTCACTTGAGTGTCTCGCTGGCCATGTGCGGCATCCGCCCCCACCACTGTGGAAACCGCACGTGAGGATCCACATGGCGGACACTCCGCCAACCACGATCGCACCCGAAACGATCATCACCAAAATGCTCCAAACGAGTCCTGCACAACCGGTGCGACACTGAGAGTAGCTGGGCGGGACAAGTGCAGCTCAACGGGCGTGGGTGGGGATTCCTTTTTGGGGACAAGTGTCTATCACCACGGACGATCCTTTTCGTGTGTTTTTCTTTTGGCTTTTCCAGATTTCCAGAGCCAAGTTCTCTATATTTAGGACGAAGTTTGTTCATCGAAAGGACCCCCTTTTGCACAAGTTAATGCTGGCGATGGCCAGGTCTTCGGTGTGCCATTTCTGTCTAATCTGGATGATTTGTCTGGACATGTGTAACCCTTAGCAAAAGGTCTTAAACGTCCTTTGGAAGACTTCTCTCCTCTACAAACAACAGATTCCTTTCGGGGTGTGAACTTTTGACAAAAGGGTGTCTAAGCAAACATGTACAACTTCAGAGTTGTTATTTTGTCAACCTGTGGGCGTTTCATTCATGACCTGGTAGCTTGAAAGCTATGCCTGGATCAAACACTGTCGCACCTACCTATTATAGGAGTTGGTGCTAATTCCAACACAATGCGATTTCTCCCTTGATCCGTTGTTCTAAGCCTAGCATTGGCAGCACAGTTCAGCAAGTAATGCGTATATATATATATATACTGGGGACCGGTGACTTAGGACTTGTGGCCACCAGTGACTTAGGTTCAGCTGTTCCATACTCCTAAGTCATCAGCGAACGGCAATGTGCACGGTAGAAACCCTGTCCCAACTAAATGCTGATGACTTAGGACTAGTGTACGAGGCAAATCCAGGCGCCTTCATCATATGATTAAAAAATATGTCCAAACTGTGGGGTGACACAGGGTGATGACATAGGCTGTTGTATTGTGTCCAACTAGTCCTACGTCATCACCGTCTGTGAATGAATTTCACTCTTTTAAAGAATCTCCGGAGCTAACCATTTTTGGCCGCTTTTTCATTGTTTTAGCCTGATGACTTAGGATTAGTGTTTCTGCAGCTATGTCCGCCCAATCCCGGGTCACTTGCACCCAGTATAATTATAGATTAATATGTATATATATATATATATACACCAGTCACCCTTCCGACGAAGCTGATGAGCTCTGCAATGAGAAGAGCTGCCGTGAACAGTCCGTGAACAAAGAAGAGCTGCTCAGCTCTGGTCGTTCAGCTGCGGCCAGTTCACCAGGTACTTATCTACTGGAAACCGGATGACGCTGCTGCTGCTGCTGATGATGATGATGATGATGATGATGAGGATGATGAACTTGTAGAGCTGTATCATCCCAGTTGCTTTTCTTCGGTCCTTTTGGAACCTAGTTGTGGCATTTTGCCTGTCGAAACCATCGTGAGTTGCATGGGCGATGACACAATACCAACAGCAAAGACTGACATGTGCTGTTTCATGGAGCTCTCTATGTTGGGTGAGGTCCAACTAACTATAGGAACGTCGCCCATGCAACCCAGGCAGCTGTTTGCCCTGTTCAAATAGATTGAGCCCCGCAGCCACCTAAAGCTGGCAGGACTTGGGCAAACCCCATCCCCGTTGTCACTTTGAAGTGGGTGACGCTTCAATCATACTCGGGGACAACTTGAAAAATGTGCGAACACTCTTATTAAAACATATAAACTTATAGCTTACAGAAACCTATATTAACAAGCTACATATGGAGATCAAAAAGCCCGTGTTCTGCTTTCCTCCAAAGTGACCAGGAATCATTCGTTTACTCCCACTGGAACTCCGCTCAAAGCTTCGACTTGGCGTGGGCTGCCGGGTTGAAGGGGGTCAAGAAGCCATCGCCCACGTAGAAGTTGTGCTCCGTGGGCGACTCCCGAAAGACCACGAAGCAGTGGTTTTCTTGGCACTTCCTGGGCAACGAGATAGTGCCTACGCATCTAAAATGCTCATGGACAGATCCTGAAAGAGAAGTTGACATTGGGGAATTGCTTTTTTGGGGGGGGACTGGAGAGGCATACCTTCGGAGGATGCATTTAGAAGCTTAAAACTATAGAATCTATAGACTGTAAAGTATGACCTCCTGGGTATGAACCTGTTAGGCAAGGGTGGATATGTTCTCTTACCTGTAGAACAAAAGTGTTCCTCCCCTCTGTCGGTTCTACTCGTGTGTCTTCGATCCGACACTTCCGTCATCGACTTCAACATGCTCTGGTACTTTTCCTTCTCTGCATGAAATGAGAATCTAAACCTTGTTTTGATCTGAGACCCTGAACTTGCTTCCCACTGCTTTGGACACTACAAAATTGCTGTCTTCACGATTGCTTAGCCACAAAGACACAAAATGCACACAATCCAAAGAAGAACAGCGCTGTATAGTATGTTTCAATTGTTGTTCATATGTGTTCCTGCCTAAGGGCCATAGGCTCTGACTCCACTGCTTGGTTGATCAATTCAATTTTTCACCTTCCTTCTACAACTGAAGAAGGCCAGTTCTTTCTACCGAGCGTCAGCTCGTCGGCGATGGTCTTCGCAATGCGTTGGGAGAACTGCTCCTTGCGCCACTTCTCGCGCCCGGGCCGTTGGTCAACCTTCACCAACGGGACCCCATCGCCCATCTTGCCTTGGACGAACACGGCGGGTGGTGAGTGGCGAGAACCGTGAGTCAATGGATTGTGCGGCACATGAAGGTCCGCAATTATTGTATTTTGTTGCCTTGCAGCTGGGATCCCATAATTACAAAGTGCTTGACAGGAAGTATAATCTAATGTCCAAAAATCCTCGTGCACAGTGCATTCAAAACACGCTCATTTATCTCGCCTTCAACCACTGCAGCTGTCAACATAGATGCTGACCAGCACCGAGCCGCAAAGCATATCCAAACATACTGTGAGACTTCCTTATCATAACGTGACTGGTGCCCGTACTCCCACGTTCAAACGTCCAATGTGATCCGCCATCACCTCCAAACACATAACGCGCGCTTCAACGCACCGAACGCGTCCAAGTTGCCCAGGACCTCGACCACGGTGACGTAGTCGTGATGTGCCCGGTCGGCGGACAACGTGTCCAGCACATGTTGACGGCATGCCACACGGATGCGCTCCAAGGTGGCCTCATCGGCACAGTTCTTCGGCAGGTGGATTTGGACGATGGGCATGACCTGGGCAAAAATATTTGGAGGCCGGAGGGCACATATATCCTCATAACTATCATCCTCATCCTCAGCCTCATAATCATAATCATATACATATATATATATTATTTATATTGATTATATATATATATATATTTGTTTATCAAAATGTAATAACATGTATGTATATGCCTGGTGTCAAGGAATCCGGATGAAAAAAAGCGTCTATGGCACCCAGAATCCCACCCCTGGCTCCCGGTGATCAAAAAGCAAATCGACTTCGGACTTGACCAAGCCACCACTGTTTCAGGGAAAAAACACACCACTTTAAACTTTGATTGCCAGTTATCGGCACGTTATTGTCAAAGGATGTCAAACGTGCATTTGTTTCTTTACACATATCTCCGTCTCGGACAAAAACTCCCCACATCTCCCCACATGCTTCATGACGCTACGTTCGGCCCAGTGATGACTCCGCGACGACGACCACGCGGGCCAACGACGGTCACCGACGAGCGGCAGCGACGTGCACCGAGCGGTGGGCCGCTTTTGTCGAGAGCTGGTCGCAGGTCCGGTGTTTGAGCCACTGGCTGGTTCGGTTCGGCTGGTCCAGTCCACGAGCTCTGTGTGAGACATAGAGGGACATGGGGGGGAGCTGGACTGGTGAAGAGTAATGGTTGTTAATTGATGGTGTTGTTGTCTGTTTCAATTACAGAATATATAGGTATTACATGATATTACTGCATGTGATAGGTCAACCGAACTTGCATGTGAGCTCACTGGCTCAACTCTGAGTCGTCTAACTCTAAGATACTCTAAGCATTAAAGCATGCCGAATGTGACTGAGGGTTTATCGTTGGATTTATATGTATTTGTCTTGCCTACACAAAGCTAACTCTTGTGTATAGCTGATTATAGCTGTGGGTCAAAATCCCAACAGGCACACTCCACATGGCAAACCGTGACTGAGTTGGCAATCTGTGTGTTCAGAATAGTTCCGACTAGTCTTTCTGGGAGATCTTTACTCATCCATTGGCGGAATTTGTGTCTTGACAGATCATGGCCTCGCCCCAAGCCGAATGGTCCTTGAGCTGAAGCCGAGTGCTGAGCCTGATCTTGCCTGGAACTGCAAGGTGTCGAAATCTGCACAAGTGGTCTACAAGTCACTGCAAGCAAAACAAGGCAGTGGCTCAAGAACAAACTTGAATGCTTCCATGACTTTCGCAGTGAGTGCTTTGCAACAAACACCTCCAAGTGAGGTCCAAGTGTTCGCACTCCGCGAATCTAGAAAACTCTCTAATACTCTCAATACCCGACGGGTAGTCGTGAAAAAAATATAGAGAATCGTACGTCCGCGTGATATGGGTCGCAGGTCTGCAGGGGTTCTTACTGGTTCTTGTATACGACTTCCAATGCTACCATCTTACTGCCTGTGTGTTGATTAAGGAACGCCATTGGACTCACAAAGCCCAAAGCCTCTCATTTGGGTCCGGTCCTGATCGTCTGCGGCTCAAGGACTCGATTGCACGAGACACGCTGGGCTGCGCCAACACACCAAAATGGCAGCACACTGTGATGGCTGCCAAGGCACACGGAAGGTACTGCGAAGTCGGATGAGAAGCAAAGTGGAAAATAACATGAAACGACTCGACTTTATATATTTCTTTCTATTTCATATATAATAATGTTTTCTATTTGATATAGAACAACTTGTAGCAAACATCACATTCATTCAGAAAAACAAGATTCATGCATTTATCGCACATCTTCAGCCATTTCGACCCCCCACCCTTCTGCGCCTTCTCGGTGCTTCCACCAGTTGTTGGGGCTTCACCAGCGCACTGCGGTCCTGAGTGGCGGACTCAGGACCGACTCACCACCAGTACTACTACCCGGTCTCTGACCGTCGTATCCCAGGAAGAAAGGCGGACAAAAGAACTACCAAACACTGAACTGAAAACAAACATGAACAATACATGAAAATACATCAACATACTTAAGCATGGAAATACATGAACATTATTACATGAACATACATCAAAATTGAATTGACGATCCTCAAGTCCTCAAACGTCCTCTATTTGGTTGGAAGACGTCTTTACCAAGGTCACTGGGGCCCATCACCACTGAGAAGCTTTTCTTACTGAGCACTTCCGTGACAGACATCCGAACCATGAAGTGCGCCACGGCGCCACATCCAGCTTCTTAAAGGCCTCTTCGGCACCTGAAAAGTGTGCGCGATATGTGGCGTGAGATATATGTGGCTGCTGAGATGTGTGGGATGTTGTTTTCTGTGTGGAAGTTGTTCAGCATTCTCTTAGTGACGCTAGGTGTTGAGTTTCGCCGCCCTCTCTCTCTCTCTCTCTCCTGTTCTCTGTGTGGGCTTGGCTCTCTGGTTTCCCCAACAAGGCGCTCGTAACATTGGTGAGTGGGCTCGGAAGAGAACACTCCACGAAGACTCGCTGACCCACAAAGCAGATTCGTTGAGCCAGAACCGTTTTAGCAGCAAAACCTGTAGCCATTCTCCAAGAGGCCCTTTTCTTGACCATGTTTTGGGTGTGCAGTATGTCGGTCGTTGTTCTTTGGTGCATCCATGTCGGTCACAGAAAACGGGAGGAAGTGGGCAAGTGAATCTAGCAAACAGCAGGCTTCAATAGCCCTCAACGTGATTTGCTTCAATCTATGAAATTATACTGGCTTGTAATACTGGCCTCCAGCTGCATCTGTACTGCAAACATAAAGCTGGTAGAATTGGCGGTGGATCAAATGCTTTGGTGCAACATTTACCACTCATTCCCACTCCATGTATGTACGAGTCATGTGCATATTATACAGAATACTTTCACTGGAACCCAACTGGCTCAACTACCTTGAAGCCAACTAGCTTCAACCTGCAGAAACTTCTAAATTTGGGTCTTCTATGTCTTTTATCCAATGGTACGTGGGGTCATAATACCATTCGTCAGACCCCCAAACATGCCAATGGAACTGATCATAGATTTGCATGTTTCTGCATGATTCGATCCAGCCGATGGGCATGGCCCGCATGGCAACTCCGTTCCCCGCATGGGCCCCGCGATGATCGAATCATCGAAGCGGATGCGCAAGAAATCCGGAGGGATGGAATGCAGGATGTTGTAACTTGAAACCAGCCCTTGGTAGAATCAGAAGTATCAAACATCAGAACGGCGAGTGCTAGAAGAAACTCCCGGTTCCCCCTCCCAGCTGCTGCTGTGGCCTTTACCCATGCTTCTTTGTATCAGTGTTGTGCCTTAAAATGCACCGGAACCAAAGAAGCAAAGGAGAGAAACCAGTGTTTCTTTACAACCTTCCCCCAGTGAATCGTTTCAGGTTAGGCAACAGGGAACACGAGGAATGGCACCCTGAAAAGGGAAGATTTCTTGGCGATTTCTCTCCAAGAATCTGGCCAAGCCTACCGGGGCTTTGTCAAAACCTCTTCTGCCGAGAGGCTTTTGTGAATCGCTTCAAGCGCCTCATCCAAATGACTAGCCTGAAGAGAGGTGGGATTGCCACCAACTTGTTGTTGATTGCCTTCTTCAAAAAAGATCGAGCCTAATACAGGTGGCAGAAAAAAAACAAGAAACCTTTAGAATCAATCCTTTAGATTTGCTTGCTGGATTTGCTTGCTGGTGTGGGAATGGAATGTTCAACTGTAGTGAACCGACTAAACCAATTGAGCCTGATGCCCAATGAGTTTCACAATTTATCCACGACTGGCGGGACTTTAAGGAAGGATAAGGCTCCGGATCCTCTGGTGGGAAAAGGCTTCAGATCCCTGAGCTTGCCGCGAGGCCGAGGCCAAGCACGTGGAGAAATCATGCGACATGACTTGCCAAAGCATTTCCACATGATGCGCACAAGGCACATGAGTGTGGCATGAGTGACTTATATATATATATATGCATTGGAGCAGGGAGACTGCCCACCCCCCCCTTGGCTTCTAGTTTTGTGAGGAATTGCCAGGCATTCTTTAAAGGATTAGGATTTCATGATGGATTATGCTTTCGACACTTTCAATATACACCACCCACCCTCCCTCCAACCATCATAGACATGGACCACTCCCCCCTTGTGGTCGACCAAATCAATCGCCTTCCTTTCGGGGCCCCAAACCGTCCACTGCCATGGAACGCGGGTCGGAGCGTAAACAGCAACTTGGGTGCACTCCTTCGATCTCCGCGCGGCCCGCGCGAGCGCCACGCGCCCGAAGCGCTTCAGCCTTGGTGGGGATGTTGATGACCTCCCCAGGCTTGACTCCTTGCGTGGGCCCGGCGGGTGGACCCGGCTGTTCCAGCATCCCGTTCAAGATGTTTGAATAAGGCAGGGAAGATTAACATGAAACGTGAACGTGGACCTTTGGAAGACCATTTTTCTTAACTTGTCACGTTCCACGTTAATCTTCCAGGGTGTACATTCTTTGACTCTGTCTGAGGTGGTTGGCAGGAGCATCTGGCCTCCAACATGCTCCAACCACACCAGAACAAAAGTGCAAACAGTATTGGAGGGGTTGACATTATTTCGAAACAGGAAAGCGAAGATGTTATTCCAGGGTGCTCTTCTGCAAGGCATTTATTACTTTCGTTAGTTTCGTTTGCGCATGTTTGCACTCAGAAAGCCATATCCTGTCCACACCTGATCATTCCCCCAGAAAACCTCTGGCAAACATGTCACCCTTGAGATCAAAGGCCCGGTCAAAACCTGCCGGACCTGATCATATCACCATCGCCAGGCTGATCATATTACCACGCGGAAACCCACCCAAGAAAGTATGCCGGCCTATGGCAGCTTTTCTTCGCCGTCTCAGTCTGGTAGTTTGCTGAATCACCCAAGAGATTCTGCGGTTCTGTGATGCTTCGATCCCCGTGGCTTCCATGCAGTCGCAGTCGGAGCGCCGAAGGGCCAAAACTCTCCACTGGTTGAGATGGATAGTAATTAGACTGTGTGGCGTGGTAAGGAATACTGTAAGTGAATGGCCACCCTGTGCATTTGCAGTCGAATCATTCATCCCATGTTCTTTTCTTAGCACCATTCAGCTAAAGCTCACCCGCCATCTATATAAATCCGCAACCAACCCTCTCCCTGCAAGCAGCTGCAGAACTGCATTGAACGACCCCGTCCTGAGCGGCAAAGCTTTGCTCCGCTCGTGGCCTCCCACGACAGGGAGGACGTGTAAATCATCGCCAAGCCAGGTAGTTATGAGCATGGAGCTTGTGCAGTTTTTGAAAACTGCGAGTTCCTATGGCATCATCAAAAAGAGGAACACTTACCAAATCGGCCTTGTTCAATTGAGTTGAGTGTGAATTTGCGTCCTTTCAACTCCTACTCGTGGCTTCCAAAGAACAGTGGGCTCTCAACCTCCTTCTGCAGGTGCCAAATTCCTTTCACCTCGCGTCAGCTAGACGGACAGGGCCCGGACCCGCCTTGGGGTCCGGCTGATCCATCAGAGTGGCAGACTCCCCCAAGAGCCAGCACCTCCAATCGATCCCCAACAGACTCCATGTCATTTGTGCACGAACGATGTGGTCCACGCCCTGTGGTCTTTTTCTGTTGGAAGAAGTATTGTCTTTGGGCAAGTATCATAGTGGACAATCCAAACAAACAGGAGGATGCCAAACAAAAGGTGCTTAACATATCTTTTATCTTAACATGTTCCATATATTCATCCAGAGTCAGTCTACGTCACCATGCTCCTAGCCAGACATAGTTCATGGACACGGCTTGTCTGGCGTTGGGAAGCTTGATGGCCGACCTCGAATCGCTCGATGAATCACGACACGATACCCCTGGATCTGCCGCGCGGAAAGGAAAAACCGAGGCACATGTAGGAGTTGTTGTAGAAGGTCCAAAAAAAGCCTCAGTGCGCGGTGGCGCGCTTCCGCTTGCGCTGGTGCGCTCGCGTAAGCACCTTTTAGCATTGCAAGCTGCTAGCGACCAAACAGACAGGCAAAAGCCGGAAGAACCGGGTGTTGATGGGCGTTCATGATGCGAAGTTCATTGCACAATTTTCCACCCCAGTAAAGATAGATAGACTCAGCTAGACTTAGCACCTTGGAGGGCTTGCTGCTTGCTGCAAAAACAAGGAAACAAGTAGAAACCCAGGCAATTAGGTGAAACCTATCGTTCTAGCCAATTAAACATGCAAATCCCTTAGAGCTCCTTCCAGGGGCTCATACCTCTGATGTCTCTTGCATCTCTTCCTGTGCATCCTGCATACTCACACTATATAGTTACTATAGTTGGACAGTCCAAGAATCTAAGAAACCTATCTTTCACTAAATCAACATCGGCAATATAAGTGCCAAAATACAGCTGACCCTCGCTCATTCCCAGAATCTGAATGAATACAAAACCCACGTGAGTGACCCTTCGTCAACAAACGTTTGCTCTTAACATGCCCAACGGTGCCTTACGGCGCCTTACGGGTCGATGATGGCGTTGTTCGGGGCCCACCGGGTCGGAAGTTCTGCGCACGACTTCCTCGCCCAGGAGCAATCCGGGCTCAAGCGGCACTCCTGTGGGAAGCTGGTTGGTTTTGATGCCTGGGGAAGGTTGCACTAGGAATTATATCATTGATAGGCCTATAACTGGGCCACTAAGCGAATGAAATATACTGAAATGATATGTCTTTCAAATAGCTTCCCAACATTTGCTGATGTAATCGACCTTGAATCACTGACTTAATGTTCAAAAACCAAAGGATTTCAGACCGGAAATGAACATCGAAAGAACCACCAGAGTCAGGGACTCTGTTTTTTGTAGTCTCATATAGTCTCCAATCTGCTCAGTGTTGAATAGATGACCACACGATAGATGGCCTTGAATACGTCTTTCATCATTTTTCTCTTTCGATGGTGTGAGCTTCGACAGTTCATGCCACTGAGGGTGCAGCGACATCTCTCTTCAAAAATGAACTTATATAGACATGTGCATATTGTGCCTCAAACCCAGGTCCAGTCCGGAGTATGTCTGAGCCTGTGCTGCCTACTGATCTGAGGGACGTCAGATATTGGCTCAGGTTGAACATACTTGAGAGGAGGGAGACACGAAAGGTAGGACAGCGGGAAGAGAAAAGAACGCGAGAGGCAGGAACAAAAATGCAATGTTCGACATGGTGATTTATCCCCTCGGAGGCGACCTGTCGTAAATATATGTTCATATGCACTCGAAATGTTCAAACATATGCTCTCAAAATGTTCAAAAAGATTCATGGCATCATCGGTGAGCATTGAATCGGAGCATCATAGGATTTGAACTATCCTGAAACCATAAGAGGCTCACGAAGACGTTCCCCAGGAGAGAATTGACGTACTTCACAAAACAAACTCTAGGTATGTATCCCCTCGGGGAACACCTTTCGCGATTAGAATTTCATATGCACTCTTTCTGAATGTTCAAGAGGGTTTCAACTATCCTGAAATCATGAG